CAGCAGTTGGTGAAAGGTAAGAATTGTTGAGACATACTGTACATACAAATCGGGACAAATTCCGATACTAGTGCTTCGGTGGGGTAAATGATGTAACCAAAAGATTTGTCCACCATTGCTTAATACAGTGATGCATCGAATTCAATATGCCGCGAAAACAGGCAATGCATAACATTCTACCAAGAACAGACTGGTAGAAACAGGTATAAGCTGGAGCCCGCATGGTAGTCTTCTTACTTGCAGCATAAACAATGGGCATAATATTTAACAGCATTCAGTGAATCTTAGCGGTGCAATACACCAGGATTTGCGTCTAGCATGTATCAATATAGTGAACACAGCAGCAGTGTTGGTGGCCGTATTTCCCATAAAACAGTGATATAGTAAGAAAAAAGCAATCACTAAATACGTTTTGGTGACTCCGCCCATGAGAAATGTTAAAGGCTATAGAATCCAGCTCTAAACGAATTCATAACACTCTGACAACAGCTGATTTTCGAAGAGGAAGAAGAGGTTTAGTACTACAGTGCTACTATTAGAAACTACTTGCGAGAAGTGACAGCGCAGTGGCTTTTAGAGACTTCAGATCTACCTTACAAATGTGATATGAAAGTGAGGGGGTAATAAGCTTCCAAGTCGGTCTTGATATCCAGATTAACCTTCGTTCACGAGTCCTTGCATCCCTTTTGAAATAACTTTGAGGCGGAATACTCGGTTCTGCGTTACTTTAGCGTCCTCGGTTCCTGACGTAAAGGCTAATAAGGCTGTTCGACTGATCGAGCTTTCATCTTCTTTGCATTAGGAAATGCATATGCACCGGGTCTCCATTCGTGCTCAAAAAATATCACATTTGCAGTTTCAAACAAACATGAACCTTGTATGCACTTTATACTGTGGCATAGCTTTTAATTCGAGAAAATGAGAAGGAATAACGACGAGAGATGGAGGCCACAGATGTCATTTTTATTTTGTCTTCCACCGCCAGGCATGCTCTTATTTATGATCGGATGGACAAAGGTTTCGAATGGTCCCGCCTGCAGGTGAAACGGCATAGGCCTGTGGCGAAGTTCGTGCAGCATTTAATCTAGGTGAGAAAAATTTGCTTGGGTTGAAATCCCCATAAAATGGTGCTGAAATATACTTGTACTTGTTACGGCTATGATCATGCCTGATCTAGCCGGCGGTGCTGAAATATAACTGGATGGTTACAGAAAACGACCAAAATAATCATTCTGTAAATATTCCCATGTTCAATTTGAAAAGTCAGTTTCGACAAACATTTTTCCGGCAAATCTTCATCAGGCCAGTAACTTTGCAATTTTGGGTACTCCTAGACTACTTATGACTCAGTCCCGAGACACTAAGAAATAATATCAATTGATTAAAGAGGGTCTGTTTTGCTTAAAAACGGATAAGCGAAGATCCACTCTTGTGTGTCAACCATGTTTATAGGCCTTTAAACAAGAACAAAAACTTTAAAATGTTGGGTCTTTAAGCTTACTTGAGCGGCGCCCTCACTGGAAACGTCCGTTGTTCCCACATCACCCGTGAGAGGTGCCATTGGTCCAGAGGTTGGAACGTGAGGCCGCATCGTCCCTTCTTCATTTACACCTGGGCGAACCGAACTTAGGACGTCACCAACATGACTTCCACTGGCACTAGTCATGTCACTGTACGAGAGCGGACTTCCTGGCTCGACATCTGAAGTTCTTAAGCCGGACCGAAGATCCTTTAAGAAAAAATGGCAGTCAGTAAGGTTGTAAAAGCCTAAGCATTTTCGAGCGTGCTTTATTATAAGCTTCAAGTATGCTAGTCATACACAGACCTGAGCAGTCAGCGTAAATTGCTTTGTACGTCGTTCGAGAGATACGACACCCACAGAACCTATGCTCGCATTAAATCTCTTGCAACGCCTTTATCCAGCGTTTTTACCCGGTTTAGCTTAAGCTTTCTATTTCAAACTCTTTTTGAATTATCTAATAATCGTTATGTAGCTGTGCATTGTCGTTTTTTGATGGTGTGCTGGCTACAGTCGTTGGGCTTCCATTTCAAATGTTTGGGTTGACCTGCGTCTTACTAACCATATGGATGTTGACAAAAAACTCTACGATATCCAGAAGTCTTCAGAACCCGGATGAATTTTACGGCTCTTTCATCCTACGCAAATTTTCACCTCTGTGTTGCCCGAGCATTTTTACTATCTGGTTTTGACTCCAAGAGGTGTACACATTGACTTTTGACTAGTCGCGCAACTATTGCTCCTCACACGCGCTAAAATTGTGAGTGACATCTGATGTGATGCAGAATAACTTAATGGGCGTGGCTGTTCACGCTACGCCGACCGACATCAAAGGCCTTCGTACGTATATATCGGATAGCAAGGGATTAAATACAGATAAAAGCATTACAAGACCTACGATTCTCACTCGAATACTGAAAAGGATGTGCGTTTTGATCTGAAACAAAAATTTATTATTGCAACAAAATAGTTCTTTAGGCTAGTCCCAAACTATCAAAAACTTGCTAATATTATAAATATAAGAAATTCCGCCTGAAAGATGACTATGCCTTATAATGAAAACATCCTTGATACCAAACGGTAGGAATAAGTATGAATGAAAGCCGTGGAATGAATGTATAAAAACATATTAAAGTGATGCTAAAGCGAGTTTATTCGGACGGGGAGTGCCTAAAATCATTATGCAGTTTATGCGTTTTTTTCGATTTTTACGCATACAAAAGGCAGAGCAAAGACAATAAATGGTGTACTCCTGAATACACATTGGGGCCGGTACAAGGTTATAAAAGAGCATCATCTTACGGCATCAGACTGTTCTTCTGCAACAGCAGCTCGACGAGATGGTCGCGTCCCACTGCTACCCGGTTCACTCATTTCGACATCTCTCTGTGGTGTTGGCTGGGTAAATAAATCTGCCGATGTTGGTTCAGCTTGTGAGGTAGTGGCGCGATGCCTGGTAGAACGACGCGAACTCGTGCTAGACATTTTCCGAAAAAACTTTGGAAATGGCGCGTATGGAATTAGACGGGGTTGGCCAGTACAAAAAAACAAACTTGTTGCGTGCGTAAATGCCTTCCGTTTGCAAAGTTGTCTACACTATAAAGAGCTTTTGCCTGAATAGGAGCCGGCTGATATTCGGCTGATCGATCGAGTGAACAACACGAGCTATTAAACATGAAAGGGACAGTGAGCAGCTCAAGTCTGCGGGTTCTA